ATTGTCAAATGAAGTATAAGCATCTACATTAATTTTCTAGTAATTATTTCTTCTTTTGGACAGGTCTTTAATCAAGGACATATACTTTGTGTGTACATTTATAAAAGCCAATATGGATACATCCATTCACTGTGGTACATTTTAAAATAAAATATTCTAGCAGTGAGTATGGATTGAGGTGTTTTGGGTTTTGGCATTTTATTGAGGACTTCCTGGTTGGTATACCTAAGAATTTTTTAGGCTAAATATCTAAAATTGTTTCTTGCCCCTCCCACAAAGCTTCGGACCTAATCTGATGGAACCTGAGAGAATCCAGTTGTAACTTCACTGACAGTTCATCATGTTCATATGTGTTTATAAACAAATTGAGGAGTAAACATTTTAACCACAGCATTTTCAAGGCTGCTTGTAAACTGCTAACCTTAAATAAACATTTACATCACTCAAACCTGGAACCAGCCTATCATTCACTGTTCCTTACAAGCCTATCTGAACAGTAGATCTGATGAAAGAGAGTCAGTTTATTGCAGGTAATTTCATTAGATTGTGAAATATATTCTTGAGAGCAGTTTAACAAAATAATAAAAAGAACCATCCCTATACTTTTCAACCAGTTTAACAAATGTTAACACCACCTTTGAAAAGCCCCTGGGTTACCTAATTTGCTACATACTGGATCATTGTTCGTGACTATTTTGTTTAGTTGTAGTTGTTTAATACCTATCATTACTAGTATCTATGTTCCTGGCGGACTACTAATTTAATCACCAGGTAATTTTGTTTAAACGACATGTAGCGGGAATTTAAAATAAGGGAACTGTTCATGGTTTTTTTTTTAATTTTTTTTAAAGATTTTATTTATTTATTTGAGAGAGAGAGAGAGAAAGAGAGCATGAGAGGAGGGAGGGTCAGAGGGAGAGGCGGACTCCCTGCTAAGCAGGGAGCCCAATGTTTCTCTTAAGCATCCTGGATAGCGGCCTCTAGACACTCCTAGTGGAGTTAACACGGGATGGAGGGCGGGAAGATACCCGACTTCACTTTTCAGGCTTGTGATTACTGGCTGGGAGAGGCGGGGAAACCTCTGGGACGCTCTGGACGCTGGCTTCCGAAGTGTGCTTCCGATGGGAGACTCGAGGGCCGGGCGGCTCTAGGATGATGGAGTGGTGACACGCTAGGAACTGGGCTGGCTTGGAAGGCCTTTCGGAGACACTGCGCCAGCACAAGGGAATCGGGGCCATAGTGCGACCTCCGGAGGAGGGGTCGCCTGGGGCGTTTTCCTACCCGGAAGATCAGTCCCGCGGGTCTCCCCCAACTCCCGCGGCTGGGCCTCCCCACCTCCCTGGGTCAACGCTTCCCCTAGCTCCCTCCGCTATCTCCCCTCCCCCGCCCCGGGCTCGGCGAGTCCGTTGAGCCGCAGACCCCCATCAGATGCCCCGCGGCACCCAGCGCGCCGGGGGACTGGCCTCGGCCGCGCAGTGACCGCGGGTGTCGTTTGCGCCGCGTGGACCTACGTCTCCACCCTGTGTCCGTCACGGGGGCCACACCTGCCGGGACCCAAGGCGCCGGGACCCAAGGCCCAGGCTCCAGCGCGCGGGCGCGCGGAAGGAGTGAAGGAAATTAGGGCGGTGGGGATGGAAAAGGGAAAGGTGATGGAGAAGGGGAAGGTGAAGAGGGGGAAGGAGCCAGAGAAAGAGAAAATTCGGGAAAAAGGAAAGGAGGAGAAAGGAAAGGAGGAGAAAGAGAAAAAGAAGGAGGTGGAGAAGGAGAAAATTAAGGGAAAAGAAAAGGGAAAGGAGGAGAAAGGTAACTGTAAAGAGGAGGAAAAGAGGAAAGAGCGGGAGACCGAGAAAGAGAAGGAACAACTTAAGGGAAAAGAAGAGAAAGAGAAGGACAACAGCGCCTTGACGAAGCCCCCGCTGGAGCCGCCGGTAAGGGACGCGTGCCCCGACCCGCTCTCCAAGGCCGCTGGGGGCGGTCAGGCCCGAGCGCCGCCGGCTCTGTTACGTCCGAGGCCCCGACCTGCGCGGGAGGGAATCAGGCCTCCTTTGAGGGCATTTAATCTGTGGATTTGGAAGGAGGTGTGCCAAGCTTCGCAAGACCCGTCGCTAGCCCCGTCTCCCTGTCACCTGGCTTACCCTCACGCCTAACCCGGTCCCTGCGTCCACCCTCGCGCGGGGTAGCGGTGAGGAAGAAGAGGTCCTGGTTGGTGTGCCCGGGGCGGAAGCGGCCCTTCTCGGGCCCCGTCTCTGTGCAGCGCTCAGCGCTGGCGCACACCCCGCCGACAGTGCCGAAACCAGCCCCGAGCCCTCGCCGCCCTCGGGCTCTCTCTCCGACTCCTTTCCGTAGTGCAGGGTTCCTGAATTCGTGCAGATGTGTGTGAGGGCTGGACCTTCTCCGTGGTTACTGCTTCCATTGTTTTCCGGCTACCAGCGCCCAGAGGGACGGTCACAAAGTTTTAACTGAGAGGTCTCAGAAACCAGGCACTGCAATCACAAAAAGAAATACCTATGGTACTATTTATATGAGGTACCTAGAGTGGTCAGAATCGTAGAGTAGAATTGGTGGTTGCCTGAGGCTGAGGGGAGAGAGAATGGTAATGACTACAGTTTCAGTTTTACAAGATGAAGAGTTAGGGAGATGGATGGTGGTGATGGCTGCACAGCATCATGAATGTATTTAATACCACTGAGTTGTATGCTTAATAATGGGTAAGATGGTAAATTTTATATTATGTGTATTTTACCACAGTGAAAAAATTGAGGGGGTGGAGGATAAAAAGAAAGAAAAAACAGGCATTGTTTGGATCAGCTTAATAAGCTTCTTGCTCCTAGAGTTCCTGAGCTCACAGGTGCTTTCTGGTTCTAAACAATTTGATTTTTTTTTTTTTTAAGATTTTATTTATTTGACAGAGAGAGAGACAGCGAGAGAGGGAACACAAGCAGGGGGAGGGGGAGAGGGAGAAACAGGCTCTCCGCAGAGCGGGAAGCCCAATGCGGGGCTCTGGGATCATGACCCTTGGGATCATGACCTGAGCCAAAGGTAGAGGCTTAACGACTGAGCCACCCAGGCGCCCCTAAACAATTTGAATTAACTGCGATTTGATCTCTGGTAAAACACAGATTATTATAGATCCACATATTGTTAAAAGAATGACTATTGACAGGGAACTGTGGTGTTCAAAATCACAAATTGTGTCAGAACTTTTGGCTTAACAGTAATCCTAGCTTTCCTTAAGAGATGATAAACATGAGAAAGCGTGTATTTTAGCATGTGTTTTGCTAAAAAATAAAGTAAAATGTAAGCATCAGTGACTGCAGAGTTCCTAGACAGGGTAGAGTAAGGACAGGCATGTGGTTGGAAAGAGAGTAGGGAATTGTTTTTACTCACAATATTTCGTAGGATCTCAGATATCATTATTTTAGCACCACTGAGAAAGAAAAAAAAAGTGCTGCCAATCAAAATATGACATACCCAGACACTTGGGTGGCTCAGTCGGTTAAGCATCCCACTCTTGATTTCGGCTCAGGTCCCACCTGAAGCTCTGCACTCAGCCAGAAGTCTTCTTGAGATTCTCTCTCCCTCCCTCTGCCCCTTCCCCTAACCCCACAGCCCGTGCTCTCTTTCTCAAAAAAAAACCAAACAAACAAACATGAATTGTAAAACTCTCATTTTGGAGAGGTTAAAATGGGGGAAGGAGTGCATCTTGGAATTGATAAAATATGTTGGGGTAGCCTTAAGTGGGGCCATTGGTAGAGACTAAGGGGGACACAATCCACACCCTACAGTCATTTCTTGGGCTCAACTTTGCTTTAAAGCATGCAATTTAAATCATCCTACAAAGTATTCTGTATCAATGAAGTCCTTCTTCCTCACCACCACAGTCCCAGAATGACACTATAATGTTTAGATGCAGATGGGAGGGAATGGGGATGAAGATAGAAAATAACTATGGAGGGGTGCCTGGGTGGCTCAGTCGTTAAGCATCTGCCTTCGGCTCAGGTCATGATCCTAGGGTCCTGGGATCAAGCCCCACATCGGACTACCTGCTCAGCGAGAAGCCTGCTTCTTCCCTCTCCCACTCCCCCCTGCTTGTGTTCCCTCTCTCACTGTGTCTCTCTCTGTCAAATAAGTAAATAAAATCTTAAAAAAAAAAAGAAAAAGAAAACTATGGAAATACCATTTGCTTTGAGCCATCAAGAACTCCAAAAACAAACATGTACTTTTTCTAATTCTGTTATTCAAAAGACAGTTTTCATAAATCATGCTCTCTATACAACCCTATTAGAGCAGATCTTCAAACATCTTACTTTCACATAGATCTTATTTTCAAAAAAAGTGGGATAGTGAAAAAAATTAACTTTCTATTAGAAACCCAGGCTAAATCTAATGTCAATATTTAGTGTTCAAGTACAAATATAAAAGATTATTATTTCCAAACCAATGTCATTGAAGATAATTACTGGTGTTTTTGTGCATGAGAAACTTCTTCAGTAGGCAGTTTGGGAAATAGAATTGAATTCCCATGGGTAATCTGGCTGTATTGTTGGTCATTTATTACTGTTCACTTTAAATTTTGCACCCTAAAAGCCACTTTTCTGAGCCCTTTGAACGTTTCATACCAGCCTGCCCTTCTTTTCTCTCAATCACTTGTCATAAAAATTTCTAAGTCTGGTATGTTGGTGGAATGCTTCTTTCTAAAGTTTATGTCAAGTTCAACAGGTTTTAACATCAGGTTCTAAAATAAATGTTCATTTGTGATAGGAACCTGTTTAACAATTTCTATAACCTTAGCCTGTTCATTTAATCATGATACTTATATTAAAAAGTACTCACTTGCCCTAAAGTCTTTTCATCTAGTTAGTGATCCAATTAGGAAAAGAAAACAGATCAATAATATGAGACTTTAGGTGCTTACATGCTTAATGGCATAGTCAGTACATGAACCATAGAGGTCCCAAAATCCCAAACAACAAACAATTCTGGAGCAATTCCCAGTGGACATGAACTCAAGAAGCAAAGTGAAGTCTGAAGATTGATCCTGTGATCTATAGCACCTTCTATAAATCCTGATATATATATATATATATGAAGTCTATATTTAATAGATTAATCACCATCATTCTAGTTGGGGGATGGAGGGATGTGGTATGATTAATACCACATAACTAATGGTTGGTTATAAAATACAAACTGTTTGGTACAGTTTGTTCTAGATCTATTAAATTTTTTTTAAGTAAGCTCTATGCCCAACATGGGGCTTGAACTCATGACCCCAAGACCAAGAGTCCCATGCTCTACCAACTGAGCCAGCCAGGTGCTCCTAGACATATTAAATGTTCTGTGAAGTTTTGTTCTGGTTTACAATTTCACAATTATTATTGGGTCCTATCACAGGCAGGCACACTGCCAGGAGCCAGGAAAACAAGGCCCTGGTCTCATAGGTTTATTGATTTGTCTTTTGTTTTCACAGGAGAAAAATAAGCAGATCCTTGTGTTGGGCCTGGATGGAGCAGGAAAAACCAGTGTTCTGCACTCTCTAGCTTTAAACAGAGTCCAGCACAGCGTGGCACCCACCCAAGGTTTCAATGCAGTGTGCATCAACACTGAAGATAGCCAGATGGAGTTTCTGGAGAGTAAGCCCTCTTTCTCATTAGTAACAGGATAGGCTTATCTTGTTATACCTTAAGCCAGCCATACTGTTAGCAACATTGCACCCTTATGAAAAGTGACACTGGGTCAGGTTTTCCTATGCTTTTAGAATGCATATATAGTTTAATAGTGCACTGTGGAGGAAATCACTTTCTATTCTTATTTCCTCCTTTTTTCAGGGCTGGCATACGAGGGAGCTGCAAGGAAGGCTATAGCACCCCCTCCTATAATAGCCTCTCTTTTCCCTTACTACCCCCAATAAACATTCAATCTAAGTAAATACAACATAATTCCTTCTCTGCAAATGCAACTATAAATAAGCCCCAAACCTCTTTTTGTAACCAGAGGGCAGCCCAGAAGTCTCTACGCTAAAGTAATAATGGAGTCACCCCCTCTCTAAATATTGCTATTCCCCAAATTTGCATTAGATTCTGTTCTTTACATTCTCTCCTTGGATGATTTCCTCCGTACTATCTCTATGCTAATGACTCCCAAATTTATCTGTCCAGCCCAAGCATATCCAAATGTCACCTGACATCTTCACCTGGATATCTAATTTGGACTCTCAAACCTAGAATGGTCAAAACAAAGTGCTTCATTTATCTCCATATCTCTTCCTTTCCCTATAATCTACTGCTCAGTAAATGGTTCCTCACCTATCATGTTACTCAAGCCAGAAAATTAGGAGTCACCCATAATGTCTCCTTTTGCACCCCAACTCCAGTCCGCAAATAAAACACTATGAATTTTTCTACCTCTAAACAAAGCTTGAATTCATCAGCTATATCCTTTCCTACTGCACCTATTTCAGTTGGAACCTACACCGTCTCTCCCTTAAATTACTGTAATCACCTTTTTATTTTTGCTTTCATCCAGTTACAAAAAGAAAATATGGGCAGAGAAATTGGTCAATGTGTAGGCAAATCTTTCAGCTAACAACAAAATCAGGAATAGAGGTTTTAATTCGTTCAGAAGCTATAAAAGAGATAATGATTTTAACCAAATAGATAGCTAAGAAAATAGTCTCAAAATATAAAAAGTGAAAAGAAAGGAAGGAAGGAACAAAGGAATGAAAAGAAAGGGAGAATCCAACTAGGGAAAAAAATAGACATATCTACCATTGGAGTGAGGGATTTCAACATATTGTCAATTATTAATAGAATCAAAGAGGAAAATAATCAGCATAGATACAGAGAATTTGAACACAGTCAAGTTTCATCCAATGGACAATATAAGATTGTTCAATTAGACAATTTTAGCTACATCCCAAAACTAAAATACGTGTTCTTCTCAAAGACTCATGGAACATTTACCAAAATTGACCACCTGGTGGACCATACAGCAAGTGTTAACAAATTTTTCAGAGAAGGGGCATCATACAAACCATGTTCTTTGAATACATTGCAATTAAGTTAGAAGTTAATAACAAAAAGATAAAAATCCCTATATAGGTGAAATGTCATGATGTCACAAAAAAAGTTGAGGAACAACCCAAATGTTCATTCGTGCTTAAACTAAATATGTTAAAACCATATGAATTACTTAGAAGATTACACAACATTCTTTTAAAAAGTGAATAACACAAAATACTTTAGGGAATTAGTCTAGCTCTGTAAAAGGAAAACAAAGGACAGACAAATCGAGACACTTTCCCAGTAGTATTTTAAATGTTTTTGTTAAATTCCTAAAACAAAGGTGTTCAAACTTTTTCTGTAAAGGGCTAGGTAGTAAATAATTTAGGCTTTGGAGGCCGCATGGTCTCTATGAAGCTACTAAACTCGGTTGTGGTTTGGAAGCAGCCATAGACAATATGTGAACAAGTCCACGTCTATGTTCTTATAAACAGTTATTGGAGACACTGAAATCCAAATGTGATATAATGTTCCCGTGTCATGAAATGTTATTCTTTTTCTTTTTTTCCCCCCAACATTTAAAAATGTAAAATCCATTCTTTGTTCCTGGGCTGTACAAAAATAGGCAGTGGGCCAGATTTAGACTGTGGGCCATAGTTGCCAGCCTCGTTCTAGGAGAAAAATAAAAACTAAATTAATTGTGTATATATTATTATCATTACCAGTAAGTTTCTTCTGGGGAGAATCAGCAGAATGAAATAATCCAAAGGCATTTTTTTTCTGAGGCAAGTATTCTTAAATGCCCACCAGATCCTATTAAATCTTAGTGAAATGTTAAGAGGAGAAATTAGTTCTGGGATTTTGACAAAGGAAAAAGATGGTGCAAGTGAGGCTGGCCAGTGAATTCAGTCTATTTAAAACTTATTTTGGAGAAAGGTGTGTTTTAACCTATCACCCTGAATTATTTTGGTAACATATTCCCATTTTCTGAGCTTAAGTGATAGGCAGTGGCCCCCATGGCCGCTATGAGTTACAGATCAGGGGGTATCCACTGTATCCACTGTAGTGGATCTAGTGTCTTTATGCTGAGTCTTTGTGTCCCAGAATGATTGAACCACTTATGGAGGGTAAATATTCCCACCAGCCCTTCTCCTAGGAACATGTCTCTGGCCATTCTCAGAATTGGGTACACTCTAACACAGTGGCATTTTATCAGAACACCTGCCCAAAGTTTGGAAATTATCTAAAAGTGCCTTTCCTCAGTGGATGCTTCTGCAATGTTTTTTGGTGTCTTCTTTCTCTACTCTTCTCTGTAGTTGGTGGCAGTGAACCTTTCCGTTCCTACTGGGAAATGTACCTGTCCAGAGGATTGCTGCTGATCTTTGTGGTGGATTCAGCCGATCACAACAGATTACCTGAAGCCAAGAAACACCTTCATCAATTAATCGGAACAAACCCAATCCTTCCTCTGGTTGTGTTTGCAAACAAACAGGTAAAAAATTGGGCAAATACAAATTTTACTCAATAGTTTTATTATTACTAAAAGAAATAGAATTGTCTACTTTTAATAGCTAGATATTTTAAAATATGCTGTATATTCAGTTTAGTTTATACTTTTAAGATCTCCTAGATTATAAACTCCTTGAGAATAAAGACCATCATTCATCTTTGTGTCCCTTATACTGAACAAGCATAGTAGAAATTCAACAAATATGCATTGAATTTAATTCAATAAACATTTACTGATGGTTGAATTGATTTCAACAAAATATTTGAGTGTCTACCATACATTAAGAAATAGTTTGCTTTAGATCAATTAGCCTGACCTGAATTTATTTCACATACATAAAAAATATTAAACAACCATGGAGAAATTGGAACCCTGTACAGTGTCGTTGGGAATGTAAAATAGTGCAGCCACTTTAGAAAACAGCATGGCAGTTCCTTAAAAAATTAAAAATGGAACTCACATATGATCCAGCAATTCCACGTCTGGGTATATACTCAAAAGAATTGAAAGCAGGAACTCAAACAGATACTCATACATCCATGTTCACAGCAGAATTGTTCACAATAGTCAAAAGGTAGAAGTAACCCAAGTGTCCTTCCGTGGATAAATGGATAAACAAAACGTGATATATACATACAATGGAGTATCATTCAGCCTTACAAAAGGAAATTCTGACACATGCTGTGATATGGATAAACCTTAAGGACATTATGCTAAGAGAAATAAGCCAGCAACGAAATAGCTAATATTGTATAATTCCACGTTCATGAGGTACCTAGAATAGTCAAATTCATAGAGACAGAAAGTAGATTAGAGGTTACCGGAGAATGGGAGGAGAGGAGAAGGGTCACTGTTTAATGGGCACAGAGTTTATATTGGTGATGGTTGCCTTGGGTTGGGGGAAGGAGAAATGGGAGTTATTGCTTTGTGGGTACAGAGTTTCAGTTTTGCAAGATGAAAAGACTTCTGGAGGTGGATGGTTGCACAACAGTGTGAATGTACTGAACTGTACACTCATACATGATTAAGATGGTAAATTTTGTTATGTGTATTTTACCACAATAAAAAAAGTTAAAAAAATTAAACATCTATAGTATTGTAATACTAAAGCCCCTCCTTCAATTGCTAAGATTGCCAATCATTAGGGAACTTGATTCTTCCACTACTTCTAAGGGTGAATGCTTATGGCAGTAAACTAAGTAGTTAACAAATGATGACCTAAAGGAGGAGCCTATGTTACAGTTCAGCATGGAAGCTAGTCCTGCAGATTATATTGAAAAGAAAGGCTGGAGCTTTTGTTTTGTTTTGTTTTGAACTGCAGCATCTTAAATACCACAAACTACAAAGACCATGGTACATGTAAGTGAGCTATATGATACTCCATTGCATGAATATACCATAATTTTACCATTTTCCTGCTGGGTGTTTGGGTTATTTCCAATTGTTTATTGTTCTAAACAGTGCCGCAGTGAATCTTCATGTATGTGTCTCCTTGTAGATGTGTATCAACATTTCTCTAGTGCATACACCTAAGAGAGGAATTGCTAGGTTTCTGGATTTGTACATATTCAGTTTTACTAGATCAGGGGTGCATATATCCCTTTGAATTAGTGTTTTCTTATTCTTTGGGAAAATACCCAGTAGTGTGATTACTAGATTATAGGGTAGTTCTATTTTTTTTTTTTTTTTTAAAGTAAACTCTACACCCAGTGTGGGGCACGAACTCATGACTTTGATCAAGGGTCACATGCTCTACTGACTGAGCCAGCCAGAAGTCCCAGGGTAGTTCTATTTTTAATCTTTGGAGGAACTATTTTCCACAATGGCTGCACCAGTTTACATTCCCACCAACAGTGCACGAGGGTTCCTTTTTTTCCACATCCTCACCAACACTTGTTATTTCTTGTGGGTTTGATTTTAGCCATTCTGAAATGTGTGAGGTGATAACTCATTGTGGTTTTGATTTGCATTTCCCTGATGATGAGTGATTTGAGCATCTTTTCATGTGTCTGTTGGCCATTTGTATGTCTTCTTCAGAAAATGTCTGTTCATGTCTTCTGTCCGTTTTTTAATTGGATTATTTGTTTTTTTGTGTGTGTGTTTTGAGTTGTGTAAGTTCTTTATATATTTTGGATACTAATTCTTTATTGGATATGTCATTTGTGAGTATCTTCTCCCATTCAGTAGCTTGTCTTTTAATTTTGTTGGTTGTTTTTTGTTTTGTTTTGTTTTTGTTGTGGAGAAGCTTTTTATTTTCATATACTTCCAATAGTTTATTTTTGCTTTTGTTTCCCTTGCCTCAGCAGACACATATCTAGAAAGATGTTGCTATGACCAGTTTTAGAGAAATTACTGCCTGTGTCTCCTCTAGGATTTTTATGGTTTCAGGTCTCACATTTAAGTCCTTAATCCATTCTTAGTTTGTTTTCATTATTGTGTAAGAAAATGGTCCAGTTTCATTCTTTTGCATGTTGCTGTCCTGTTTTCCCAACACCACTTGTTTTTCCCATTACATATTCTTGCTTCCTTTGTCCTAGCTTAATTGACCATATAATTGTGAGTTTATTTCTGGGCTTTGTTCTCTGTTCTGTTGATCTGTGTGTCTGTTTTTGTGCCGGTACCATACTGTTTTGATTACTACAGCTTTGTAATATAACTTGAAGTCTAGAATTGTGCTACCTCCAGTTTTGTTTTTCTTTTTCAAGATTGCTTTGGCTTTTTGGGGTCTTTTTTGGTTTTATACAAATTTTAGGATTGTTTGTTCTAGTTCTGTGAAAAATGCTGTTGGTATTTTGATAGCTATTGCATTAAATCTGTATATTGCTATGGGTTGTATAGACATTTTAACGATCTTTGTTCTTTCAATCCATGAGCATGGGATGTCTTTCCATTTCCTTGTGTTGTCTTCAATTTCTTTCAACAAAGTTTCATAGTTTTCAGAATACACGTCTTTTGCCTCCTTGGTTAGGTTTATTCCTAGGTATTTTATTATTTTTGGTGCCATTATAAATGAGATTTTTTCTTAATTTCTCTTTCTGCTGCTTCATTATTAGCATATAGAAATGCATCAGATTTCTGTACATTGATTTTGTATCTTGCAACTTTACTGAATTCATTTATCAGTTCTAGTAGTTTTTTTGGTGGAGTCTTTCGGGTTTTCTATAATAGTGCCATGTCATCTGCAAATAGTGAAAGTTTGACTTCTTCCTTACTAACCCAAATTACTTGCTAAATTTCTTGGCTGATTGCTGTGGCTAGGACTTCCAGTACTATGTTGAATAATAGTGGTGAAAGTGGACATCCTTGTCTTGTTCCTTACCTTAGGGGAGAACTCTCAGTTTTTCCTCATTAAGTATGATGTTAGCTTAGGGTTTTTCATATAAGGACTTTATTATGTTGAGGTATGTTCTCTCTAAACCTACTTTGTGGAGGGTTTTTTATCATGAGTGGATTAATTACACTGTCAAATGCTTTTTCTGCAACTATTAAATGATCATATGGTTTTTATCCTTTCTTTTATTGATGTGATGTATCATGTTGCTTGATTTGCAAATATTGAACCACTCTAGCATCCCAGGAATAAATCCCACTTGATCGTGGTGAATATATTTTTTAATGTATTGTTGGATTCTGTTTGCTAATATTTTGTTGAGGTTTTTTGCATCTATGTTCATCAGAGATATTGGCTTGTAGTTCTCTTTTTTGTGGTGTCTTTCTCTGGTTTTGGTATCAGTGTAATGCTGGCCTCATAGAATGAATTTGGAAATTTTCCTGTTTTCTGAAATATTTTGAGAAGAATAGGTATTAACTCTTCCTTAAATGTTTGGTAGAATTCACCTGTGAAGCCATATGGTCCTGGACCTTTTTTTTGTTGGGAGTTTTTTGATTACTGATTTGATTTCATTGCTGGTATTGGCCTGTTCAAATTTTTATTTCTTCCTGATTCAGTTTTGGGAGTTATATGTTTCTAGGAATTTATCCATTTCTTGTAGGTTGTCCAATTTGTTGGCATATAATTTTTCATGACATTCTTTTACAATCATTAGTATTTGTGTGGTGTCAGCTGTTATTTCTCCTCTTGTTTTTTATTTTGTTTGAGTTCTCTCTCTCCCTCTCTCTTTATGAGTCTGGCTAAAGGTTTATCAATTTTGTTGATCTTTTCACAGAACCAGCTTCTGGTTTCATTGATCTGTTCTATTGGTTTTTGTTTTGTTTTGTTTTTGTTTGTTTGTTTGGTTTTTTTAGTGTCCATGTCATTTATTTCTGCTCCAGTCTTTATTATTTCCTTCCTTCTGCTAGTTTGCGGTTTTGTTCTTTTTATAGCTCCTTTATGTGTACAGGTAGTTTGTTTATCTGAGATTTTTCTTGCTTCTTGAGGTGGGCCTGTGTTGCTATAAACTTCCCTCTTAGAACTGCCTTTGCTGTGTCCCAAACATTTTGGACCGTTGTGTTTTCATTTTTCTCCATGTAATTTTTTATTTCTTGGTTGACCCACTCATTTTTCGTAGCATGTTATTTAGCCTCCATCTATTTGTGCTCTTTCCAGATTTTTTTTTTCTTGTGGTTGATATCTAGTTTCATAGCATTGTGATCACAAAAGATGCATGGTGGGCAAGTGAGAGTGAGAGAGAGAGAGAGAGAGAGAGAGAGCGAGCATGAGTGGGGGGAGGGGCAGAGGGAGAAACAAACTCCCTGCTAGCGGGAACCCAAGGTGGGGCTCCATTCTGGGACTCCGGGATCATGACCTGAGCCAAAGGCTGATGCCCCTTCTTCTTCTTCTTTTTTTAAAGTAGACTCTACATCCAATGTGGGGCTCCACCTCATGAACCTGTGATCAAGAGTTCCATGCTCTAATGACTGAGCCAGCCAGGCACCTCTATCCCTAATGTGCTTTTATCACTACAAGGAAGCCCTCTTTTTATTGAACATTCTCCTTGTATTTTCTTCCTCTCCAATTCTATCAGTGAATTTATTACCTTGAGACATTGTACCCAGGTTACTGGATCCATTAACACTGTTCAAAAGTTACTACAGGCTCTATGGGGTGCCTGGGTGGCTCAGTCGTTAAGAGTCGGCCTTCGGCTCTGGGTGACTCAGTCGTTAAGGGTCTGCCTTCGGCTCAGGTCATAATCCCAGTGTCCTGGGATCGAGCCCTGCATCGGGCTCCCTGCTCGGCGGGAAGCCTGCTTCTCCCTCTCCCACTCTCCCTGCTGTGTTCCCTCTCTCTCTGTGTCTCTCTCTGTCAAATAAATAAATAAAATCTTTAAAAAAAAAAATTGTTACTCCAGGCTCTAAGAATAAATGAATTCTGATCTCAGACAGGCAATATATTGGGATGACCAACATCTAGAAATGTAACCAACTGCAGCCAGATACCACCAGAAACATTTTTCTAGATATGTCTCCTGAGGCAAGGGAAATAAAAGCAAAAATAAACTTTTGGGACTACATAAAAATAAAAAGCTTCTGCACATCAAAGGAATCCATCAAAAAAACAAAAAGGCAAGGGGCAATTCCGTGGTTCAGTTGGCTTAAGATCCTCAGGGTCTGTGGAATGGAGCCCTGAAATGGCTTCCTGCTCAGAGGGGAGCCTACTTCTCCCTCTTCTCTGCTGCTCCCCCTGATCATGCTCTCTCTTGCTCTCTCTCTCTCTCCCAAATAAATAAATAAAATCTTTTTTAAAAAAGGCAAATAGTGATTGGGAAAAATATTTGCAAATGATATATCTGATAAGGATTTAATATCCAAAATGTGTAGAGAACTTACACAACTCAACCTTCAAAAAACAAATAATCCAATTTAAAAATAGGTAGAAGATATGATGAACAGACATTTCTCCAAAGAAGACATACAGATGTCCAACAGACACATGAGAAAGACGCTCAACACCATTAATCATCAGCAAAATGCAAATCAAAACCACAATGAGATATCACTTCACACCTGTCAGAATGGCTAGAATCAAAAAGAAAAGCATTAACAAGTGTTGGTAAGGATGTGAAAAAAGGACCCTTGTGCATTGCTGACAGAAAGTAAATTGGTACAGGCACTGTGGAAAATAGTATGGTGGCTCCTCATAAAATTAAAAACAGAAATACCATGTGATCCAATAATTCCATTACTGAGTATTTACCCAAAATACAAAAAAAAACTAAAAACAAAAACACCAATTTGAAAAGGTATATGCATCCCTGTGTTTATTGCAGCATTATTTACAGTAGCCAAGATAAGGAAGCAACCCGAGTGTCCATCAACAGGTAAATGGATAAAGAAGATGTAGTATATATACATATATTGGAATATTACTCACCACAAAAAAGAATGAGATCTTGCCATTTGTGAGAACAGGGGTGGACCTAGAGGGTATTATGCTAAGTGAAATGAGACAAATACCATATGATTTCACTTACATGTGGAATCTAGACAACAAAAGAACAAACAAATAAAAAGGAGAAATAGACCCATAAATATAGAGAACAAACTAATGGTTGCCAGAGGGGAAAGTGGTGGAGGGATGGGCAAAAAGGAGTGAAAGGGAATGGGAGATGCAGGCTTCCAGTTATGGAATGAATAGGTCACAGGGATGAAAGGTACAGTGTATATAGTGGTATATGCTGAATATAATCAATGGTATCATAACAGCATTGTATGGTGAGAGATGGTAGCTACACTTATGGTGAGCACAGAATAACATATAGAGTTGTCAAATTACTATGTTGTACACCGAAAAGTAATGTAATATTGTATGTCAACTATACTTCAATAAAAAAAATTGATCCTATTGAATATGATTTTGGATAAATAAAAAAGAAATGGAAAAACAAAAATAGAAGCAGATTGACCAAAGTGTTTGTAAAACTGATTAAGGTATAGAATGGCTTAATTTCATTCTGAAAATTCTTTCTTGATGATAGCTCGTAACTGCTGGTATAATTCTGCTGCCCTTTATTTTTCTCTCATTTTTTTTGTAAGTAATCTCTATACCCAATATGGGGCTCAAACTCACAACCCCAAGATCAGGAGTTGTACCAACTAAGCCAGCCAGATGCCCCATTGCTGATGTAATTCTGATTAAAAAAGACAACCATTGGGGTCATAATAATGGGGTCACAATATCCTTCACATTAAAACAGAGGTGGAATCATTGAGAGCAATAAATGAGAATAATAAATGTATCTATCCAAAAGGATTGCAAAATAACCAGCTTTTTCCTATCCTTTTTCTATTCTGGGTGAAGGATCTTGAAGCAGCCTATCGTATTACAGATATCCATGAAGCTTTGGCATTGTCTGAGGTGGGAAATGACAGGAAGATGTTCTTGTTTGGAACCCAAGTGACTGAGAACGGCTCAGAAATACCCTCCGTCATGCAAGATGCCAAAGACTTGATTGCACACCTGGCTGCAGATATGCAGTGACCACGCCCAGGCCCACTGTGCAGCTGTCAATCTAAATCTCACTAGGGAGTGTTGAGTGACAGGTTTGAAGCCAAAGGTTTCCACTGTCAAATAAAAAATAAGCCATTTCCTATTTTCTTAATGCATGACATATATAGAAAGATAATGTTAATTGATTAAGAGCCTCTCTTTGCTTAGATTTTAAACTTTAAAAATATTGGTAAAATAATATATTCGGGGGGGATTTGGATTTTCATCAACAAAATTAAAGTGAACATTAGTAAGCATTCAAACCATTTGCAGTTTTTGATGACAGGAGATTTATATTAAAATATTTTAATAAACTACCTCTTTTCAAGTAAAAATCTAGGTGTCTTTCCTTAAGTAGATTCACTTAACACTGTAAGGAAAGAAATATCAGGATAAGGCAATGAGAAAAGTAAGCACTATAAGACATACATAGAAATATAAATTAACAGCATTTAGAAAGATTTAGAAAAGCCTTCTCTTTTAGGAGCCTGATATACTAGAATAGGAACACTGAGGATTTGATTTTTAAATACTTGACATTTTGCTTTTATACATAGATAAGCTTTCTTCACCAGAAATATTTTATGATAACTCTGTTTACCTACAAACATGATAAAAATCCAACTTTTAACCTTAGTGTCTTGTTAAAAAAACAAACAAAAGGACTTCAGTTTCTAGTCAGTATGTAAGAGGCTCAGAAGCTGTCACTCCATTCTAACAAGTGAAAAGCTAAACAGACTGCAAAATCAACCACTCTTCTAGGACCCATAAGAGCGGTGAGGACACAAGGCAAACTGCTGCCCCCAAGATTGAAGACACCAATAAAAGAATACAAAGAATGATAATTTACTGGCAAAGAGCTTCATGGGTGGAAACCAACTGTGGGAACCAGTGCCAGGGTAGGAAAACCAGAACTGTAATTGATGAATTGCTGGAGGTCCAGATGGATGACTATGACTAAAAACTCCAGGGGATCCAGGCATAGTGGGGTCCCTACAATTTTGTGAGACTTATCTCTAGGAGCTTGAGATTCCCACAGCAAGTACCAGAGAAAAACCCCCTGGTGCTTCCAGAAGAGGGAGAAAGGAACCATTTTGAAATATACCAAAGCATTCTGTCTTTATTAACAAAGCCTGCCTTTAGGGGAAACTAGTTAACCAGAACCTAACTTGCTGGGGTATTATCAAACCCTAACCTGGGGAAGAGAAATACCCAACTCCAGCCCATTCTAACCATTTTGTCCCACATCAGCAAAGAAGAAAACAAAGGCACACTTGTGAAGTTCACAATCCAGAGGCAAAGGCTCAGTAAAAGACTAAGACCAATCATAGGACTATAGAACAGTTCTCTCTCCCACATCTTACCAGCACATTACTAAAGGTCTGTTTATAGCAGTTTCTTAATTAGTACATCATGCTTGGCTATCAAGGAAAAATTATAAGACATGCCATAAGCCACTGGGAGGCTCAGTTGATTGATTGACTCTTGATCTCAACTCGGGTCTTGATCTCAGGGTTGTGAGTTCAAGCCCTGCATTGGGCTCTGTGCTGGGGGTAGAGCCTACTTAATAAAAAACAAAACAAAACAAACAACCATACAGAAGAGACATCAGAACCATATGCAGCATTGGAACCAGTATGGCAGAGATGTTAGGATTGTGAGAACAGGAATTTAAAACAACTTGATGATTAATATGATTAACGTTGATAAGAGTTCTAATGGATAAATTAGACAGCATACAAAATCAGATGGGCAATGTAAGCAGACATGAAATTTTAAGAAAGAACCAACAAGAAATCCAAAAGATTAAGAAAAACTTTGTAACAGAAATGAAGAATGCCTTTGATGAGCTTATTAGTAGACCAGACACAGCTGAGGGAAAAAAGTCTCTTGAGTTTGAGGATATCTCAATAGTAGCCTCCAAAACTGAAAAGCAAGAACAGACTGGGAAACAAACAAGCAACAACAACAACAACAAAAACCCCAGAACAGAACATCCAGGGACTGTAGGACCACTACAAAAGATATAAATTGCATGTGATGGGAATACCAGAAGGGGAAAAAAGAAATAGAAGAAATATTTGAAACAATAATGACGGTGCAGAATGCCCCAAATTAATGTTAGACTTCAAACCACAGATCCCAGAGGGTCAGAGAACACCAGTCAGCATAAATGCCCCAAAAAACTACACATAGACATATCATTTTTAAGCTGCAGAAAATTAAAGATAAGAAAAAAAATCATGAAAGAAGTCAGAGGAAAAAACACCTTACCTATAGAGGAACAAAGATAAGAATTACATCCGACTTCTCCTCAGAAACCATGCAAGTAAGAAGAGAGTGAGTGAAACATTTAAAAGGTTGAACGGGAAAACCCACCAACCTAGAATTCTGTACTCTGAGAAATTATCCTTCAAGGAGAAAGACTTTTTTTCTTTTTTAAAGATTTTATTTACTTATTTGACAGAGACAGACACAGTGAGAGAGGGAACACAAGCAGGGGGAGTGGGAGAGGGAGAAGCAGGCTTCCCATGGAGCAGGGAGCCCAATGTGGGGCTGGATCCCAGGACCCCGGGATCATGACCCGAGCCGAAGGCAGACGCTCAATGACTGAGCCACCCAGGCGCCCCAAGGAAAAAGACTTTCTCAAATGAACAAAAATTGAGGGAATTTGTTGCCAATAGACCTGCCCTGCAAGAAATGTTAAAAGAAGGGCGCCTGGGTGGCTCAGTTGGTTAAGCAACCGCCTTCGGCTCAGATCATGATCCTGGAGTCCTGGGATCGAGTCGCACATCGGGCTCCCGGCTCAGCGGGAGTCTGCTTCTCCCTCTGACCCTCTTCCCTCTCGTGCTCTCTCTCTCATTCTCTCTCTCTCAAATAAATAAATAAAATCTTAAAAAAAAAGAAATGTTAAAAGAAGTTCTTCAGAGAGAAGGAAAATTATACAGGTCAGAAATTCAGATCTTCTTAAAGGAAGAGTACTGGAAAAGAAATAAGTGAAGGTAAAATTCAAACTTTTATTTTTTTATTGCATTTTTTAAAAGATTTTATTTATTTATTTATTTATTTATTTATTTATTTATTTATTTATTTATTTATTTATGAGAGAGAGTGAGCATGGGGAGGAGCTGAGGGAGAAGCAGACTCCCCGCTGAGCAGGGAGCCCGGATCCCGGATCCCAGGACCTCTGGATCACAACCGGAGTGGAAGGCAGATGCTAAACTGACTGAGCCACCCAGGCACCCCATGAAAAGAGGATTTGTTCTGCAAATCCTTCCTTTTAAAATTTGGGATTTGTGGCAAAAAAAAAAAAAAATTTAGTGAAGATGATTAGCCCCTTTGAACGTTAGCACATAAACTCCACTGTCAAGTATTGGGTTGAAATGGAACATACTTGAACTTAGGCATACATGTGCAAAATGTTAGTTGCCCTCTGAGAGATGAGATGTTAGAGTGATACTTTAGGGTCACTGGCTTTCTCACCTTCAGACCTGCAGAATAATGTTGAACAGTATCATATCACAACAGCCACTTGGGTTTCTAATGTTAGTCAGACCTTCCTTTATCTGTCCTATGGAAGTTGGATCACACAATGATTCAGGATGGTCAGAAACCCTGGATTTCAGCCTCTGCCCTAAGGATTGCCAAGTACTGGCCTTTGGACAGATCCCTTAACCATATTGTGTCTTACTTGGTCTTCACTCTGGAAAAGGTTTAAATCAAATACAGACTGCTTCCAGCCCTAAACTCTGATTCTATCTCTTCCTTATGTTTTCTAAGGTATTTGAGGGTATATATAAGTTCCTGGATACCTATTTCAAAGATGATTCCAAAAGCTTTTGGGATAGGGAATGATAACGCTGTTCAGTCTTGTTTTTCTCACATTCTGATTTTAGCTTCTGCATTTTGGTAGTAAGTGTTGTGGCTGGAGTTTTTCCCTCAGTGAAGAACTATTGAGTGCCAACATGGTGGTGGCTGCTTGATGCTGAGGATGATTAAAGCAGGGACTTGAGATGCTCTCAGGCTAGCAAGGGAGGTACATGACACAGGGGTTTCTAATGAAACGGCACTCAGCCAAGACAGGTTGTCAGAGTCAGCCTGGCTGCCACTCTTCCCAACAGGCTTCATAGGTGGCGCTCATTACCTTAGAATAATGACCATTGCCAACCTTCCAGGCTCAGAAACTTTAAGTGTAGTTAGCACACTAAGAATGGACGTCTTTTCATTTATTGATTTAGTCAACATTTATTGAGCACCAACTGTATGCCAGAATTCTTGCATTTAAAATGATGGAAATTCAACTTAAATTGGTGTGTGCCAAAAAGGGCACTGTGGGGGGTGGCTCATTATACTGGGAAATCTAAGGCATGGGCAGATTCAAGAGTTTGAAGATAACAAGGCTATCTCTCCATCTCTTGGTCCTGCTAACCTCTGTTTGGCTTCATACTCAAAATCCCTCTGCAAGGAATTGCTCTCAACACCAAGCCTACAACATTCATATAGCTCATGATCATAGAGTAAAATGGATCCTCTCTTTTAAAGCAGCCATCCAGCAAATCTCATGGAGGGGCAAGACTGGTTCTGCTGAGCTCACATATTGATCTCTGAACCAATCCCTGTGGCCAAATTGCCCAGACCTGGTGGTAGGGGTGGGGGGAGCAGGATTAACCCCCTCCAACCATATGGAATGAGTTCCCCACAGAAAGAATGGGTTCTACTTTTAGAAGAAGAAGGAAGGGATTCTAGGCAGGAAAACAACAGAAAGAATGATAGCTATTCATAGCCATCCACTGTGCTTAGCACTGGGCATTTACCAGCCACCAGGATAGAGAATGTCCCTGTCATTAAGGAGCTTATTTTCTGGGTGTGGAGGCACACACAAAAATAAAAAAGCAGATGAAATAATTATAAATTGTGTTGAAGCAAGGATCTGAGATAGAAGGTAATGGCAGGAACATTTTTAAAATTACTGTGGGTTGGAAAGACTTGAGTGGGTGATATTTAAGCCAAGCCCTGAAGGATAGAAAAGAGCCAGTAGGGAGGAGTGGGCTCCAGGCAGTAGGGACAGGTATAGAAAGACGCTGAAATGGGAAAGAGTTTGACATGTTAGAGAAGATTGAGGAGGCTGGAATGTAGACAACAAGGGTGGGGCAGCCCACAGTAGATTGGAGAGAGAGAGAGGCAAGGACCAAGATCCTGGGGCATCTTATGGTGCAAAGCTTGAGATTTATTCTAAATAGTTTGGTGTATCATGATTGTCATTACACCAGTTTGAGGGCACTTCAGAATCCAGAGAGATGAATGTGCCCTGGACTGGCATTGGTGAAAG